TATACCACTTAAATACAATTCACCCACTTCCTAATTCACAAGTTCATATTGTTTAGATTCGCCTTCCTTGGAGATGTGATAATCATAGTCAAGAGTCTGAATTTCTTGATGGTACTCCCCCTGAAGTTCAAACTCAGAGGAAAAATACATCGTATCTTTATGAAACACCACATCCATTGTTACAAACATTTGTCGAGTTGGAGGATGATAACACCGATATCCTTTTTGGTGTAAGGCATATCCAACAAAGACACATCGCAATGCATGAGGAGTTAGCTTGTTGCGCTGGTGCTTGTGGAGGTTCACAAATGCCACACAACCATAAACATGAGGAGGCAAATTTGGGACGGTGGGGCCAACTATAACGTCAGTCAGAGCTGGAAAGGTGCTTGGAAGTCAATTGAGCTAGAAGGTACCCGATTGATTAGGTATGCGACAGAGGTAATTGTTTCACCCCAATGAGATATCGGCATATGTGCTGTAATTAAGGAAGCTCGAACTACCTCCAACAAGTGTCAATTTTCCGTTCAGCGACTCCATTTTGCTGCGGTGTATTAGAACAAGTGGTCTGACAAACAATTCCATGTGCTTCAAGATATCGTCAAAGATCAACACTTTGATATTCCCCACCATTGTCGATGTGCAGGACTCGAACCGTTGTCTTGTACTGAGTTCCAATCATTTTATGAAATCTTTGAAATAATAAGTTCACTTCATCTTTGGACTTCATAAGGCATAACCAAGTCATTTTGGTACAATCATCAATAAAAGTAACAAACCAACGTAATCCACCCATAGTTGAGACTTTAGATGGACCCCAAACGTCAGAATGTATAACCATAAAAGGAAGTGGACTTTTATTCAAACTTAACGAAAACGAAGCACGATGACTTTTTGCTAGTTTACAAACATCACAATGGAAACTAGAAACATCACATTTTGCAAACAAACTAGGAAACAATTTTTTTAGATAACCAAAGGAAGCATATCCCAGACATCGATGCCATAACCAAATTTCAGATTTCTTCTTCTCCTCCTCAGACCCATCTGCTATCAAGGCTTGCCGCAGCTTGTTGGAATCCCTCAACTGCAAGTCTAAGCAATACAGCTTCCCATGCTTAATACCACAACCAATCATCTGTCTTGTTTGGATGTCCTTAAACACACAAAATTCAGGCAAAAAAATGACAATACAAGATAAGGCTGTAGTGATTTGAGAAACTGACAAAAGATTGTAATCTAATGATGGAACAACTAACACAGAATCCAAATGTAAAGTATCAGTGAGCGTTAATGAACCTTCCCCAATAATTGGGGTCGTGTTACCATTGGCTATGGAAACAAACTTTTGTGAGGAATGTCTAAGGGATGAGACCTGTCTAGAATCAAAAGTCATATGATATGTAGCACCATAATGAATTATCCATGCACTATTAATAACATGTGCAGAAATATTTAAAACCTTACCACCGTCATCTGTAGCAGCTACCAATGCTGAAGCCTTCTCCGCAATATTATCCTCCATTTTTATTTCGGCAACGGCTGCAGTTAAGACTTTCTTGGAATCCTTCTTCCGTTGATCACGATTATGATCCCACCAGTCTGGATATCAAACAAGTTCAAAGTAGCGATCCTTGGTATGGCCAGTCTTATTACAATGAGTGCATTTGAAGGTTGACTTATCAGCACTAGGGGTCGTCTTAGGATTGCTAGTCTTGGATCGGGCCTGCCAATTTTGAGTTGGCCGATGTCGAGCTACCATGGTTGAGGTGTCAGAATTGTCAGATGCTCCTTTCAAAGAAACATGACGTACTACTTCTTGTCGAACCAATGCATAACATTCTTCCAAATCAGGAACTGGATCTTTGTGTAAAATTTCTCCTTGAATTTGTTCGAAGTCACCATCCAGTCCGGCAAGAAAGATGTGCACCCGTAGTCGTTCAATGGACTTTTGGTGTGCTGCAATGTCGTCAGGATCTTTCATGACTACCTTATCTCAATGATCTAATTCACGAAAAATCTCAGTCAACTCTCCATAATATTCAGAGAAAGACTTGCCACTTTGTCTGGCAACAAACGCTTTTTTTATTCAATGTGAAAACTTGCAATTCATCACTTCCATCATAGAAAGCCTTTGATAATGCACTCCAAGTTTCTTGAGTAGTAGGTAAGCGTAAGTAACGCTTCATAATTTCTGGAGTCATGGACATTAACAGCCATCTCTTCACCTTCTGATTTTCAGCATACCATTTTTTATATCTATCATCTGACTCTGTGGGTGGCTATGTCTTTCCTCGGATGTAGGAAAGTTTTTCCCGTTCGGCAATATGCATCTCCATTAATTGTGACCAAACATCATAATTGGATTCGGTGAGGATGATTCCTGCATTGAAAATACTTTCTGACTGAACAATAACTGGAATTGATTTTGTTCCAGATGATTCAATATTATTTTCACTCATTTTTTTGTTTGTTTGTTTGTTTTTTTGTTTGTTTTTTTTTTTTTTTGTTTTTTTTTGTATCTAGGAAGAGCTCCCTAAAAAAAATACAATAATGGGCTAAATGCAATAATGGCCTATACACGGCAAATAACAAAACAAAAAAAAAAATGTCAAACAAAATGTTGAAGCAGATGCACGAGGTTAAGGATTTCCTTCTTACCTTCTGCACGCTTTGCGTGTTTGATTCAGAGAAGGCCGACAAGTTGAAGCAATCCCTTCCTCCAGGTTTGAGCGTGCAGGACCTTTAAGGGGGAGATATGGACTTGACGGAAAAAGTTTTCTGGGCACACGAACAGATAGTTGCAGCAAGATAATAAGGGCAGAACGGTAGAGGGCGTGGGTCTGAGCGGCGCGGCGAATCCGAGCAGCGGGTCTGAGTCCAAGCAGGTCTTGGCGCGACGATCTGAGCGGTGGGGCCGGTAACGATACAGAACAAGATTTGTTCTTGTTTCAATTCTGATTTCAGTTCAGAAATTGCAAGGAATTTTTTTTTTTTTTTTTTTTGTGTTTTTTTGTTTGTTTTGGTTTTGATATTTTCTGGTTTTGAGATTTTGACTATTTGAGAGAACCGAAGGTCGTCTCTGATACCATCTTCAAAGGGATGATGAATAGTATTTTTTCATTCATATCAATTCTGTCAATATACAATCAATATATAGAGGAGCATCTCCTACCATTAAGTTATATAATCACCTATAATCATTCACATTTATAGTCATATAATCATACCCAATCAGACTAAGAAAGGAAAGAATCACAAACAATTCTCTACAAATCTCCTAAACTCTCAACATATTTTGCCAGAAAAGTAGGAAGGAAAAAAAGTCTGGTCCAGAGTACCTGGCAATTTTCTGTTGAAAATTCATTTAACCAATTTATGAGCCATTGAGACGTACAAACATGATTTATTTCGCTAGAAACGTAAGAAGGAAATATGGCTGGTCCAGAGTAGATAGCAATTACTATTGCAAGTCCCTTTAATCAATTTACGAGCCATTGAAACGAACAAAAATCTACTTCCAAGTCTCGCTGCTCAAATAGGCTTCATTCAACACTATTGTTGCGTGCAAATTAGGTTGGGTATACCATCTTCGTGATGGAATTCTGACTCTCTGAGGACATTATGAGTTTTCATCTTAAAAAATTAAGCTGTTAAATTTGGTAGCGTTTTTAGAAGTTGGTGTTTATTGTCGTTTTTAAACAATGTTTCTTTTTTACCCTTTAAAATTTGAAGTCTAGTTATTTACTTATGCTGCATTTTTTTTTTAACAGCCGTACTCATTTTATGTGTAGAATAGGCTTATTCTCTGTTGGGAAAAAAGGAAATTAAACAAATTAATATTAAATTCGGATTTCTCTTGTTAGTAACCCAAAAAACAAATAAAATAAAATAAAAGTGAAAAAAAGGACTGCTATAACACCTTTCTCAAAATCACAAACCCTCACCCGCTAGCATAACTCAAATTAGCTGCTTTCCCTTGATCTTCTTTAGAAAAGAATAAAACTCATTAACTGCGTGGATGTATCTCATCAAAAGGCCATAACATTATAACCTTATTATCTGGAATTGTAGAATTGAAAATCTACAGCTTCAAATATACGAAAGAGACAGAAATTTACGCACTCATTGAAATATACGAATGCTAAATGGTTAGCATTCTAAGCATACATAAAGATATAAGATCTTAGATTTCTAAATTAAAACTATTTTAACTAGTAACTTTTTAGTGAGTCACTCCAACCACACTCTTTTTTTTAGTTAAATATAGATTATTTTAATATTTATTAAATTTAAAATATAAATAATTTTATTGAATTTACAAAAGAACCGTCCATTTATTATAATTAAAAAAATAAAATAATATAAAAAATAAAATAGCTAGCCACTCCATGCTAGTTATATTTAGCTAGTGTGGAGAGCATTCTCTAAAATAGCTAACCATTTAGCTAATGATTGGAGTGGAGAAAAACTAAAAAAAAAAAAATTAAATTATTAACTAATTTAGCTAAAAACATGAAATGACTAGCCACGATTAGAATTACTTTAAACGAAACAACTTTAAAACTAAAAAAAGAGTGATAATTAAAAAGTATTAAGTGTTAAGCGTAAAATAGTCAAGTCTTGTATCGTTTAAATATAAACATCACCACAAACATATAAAAAAGTTGATTTTTTTGAGAAATATTAAAAAATACTCAACAGCATTGCTAAATAGCCAGACTCAAAATGATCCTTTTGTCTGTCCTCCCTAGTTTCCTTGAGTTCCAAATACAAACATCAAACAAAATAATAATAATAAAAATAAATAAAAATAAAAATTCCTTTTTTTCTTCTTGACACTTTGACACTTTCTTTCACGTATATATTCTTTTTTCATCATAAAATTTAGATTCCAAACATAGCCTTAAACTAGAGATGAAAATCCACATCAATTATTAAAGACGGAAGTTCAGTTATTCCATAATCAAATTAACAAACTTTCCCTGATCCATATTACTTCATTTCCTGCAAACCATTCCATTCCCACTCGCGCCACTCCCACTACAATCCAACATCCCATACTCCACCCCCACCGTGTCCTCCTGCTCGTCCGCCAAAACTCCCGCACCGGAGAACAAACAGTCGCGGCAATTGGCCACCAAAAGCGACGTCGTTCGGTACCTGTCGTCGCCTCCCAACACCGGCATTGCCACCCCGAGCTTCGCCGGGTTCTCGAAATCCGGCCTATAAGTCCTCCCAATCACTCCCTCAACTCTCGACGACAATCCATGAAACCTAAACTGCACCTCCAGATGGGCAAAGCAGTCATTTTCAGGAATATGATAGTTGTGAATCCGATCGTCTTCCTTAGTGACCGGAACGACATTGACCGCTATCTCGGCCACCTCCGGGATGGTGATCAGAACACTGTTCTTGCTCGAAGTTCTCTCCACTTTGAACCCGGTTTCGGGACACTGCCAAAACGACAGGTGGGACTCCGCGATGGCGAGTGGTTCGTTGTCGTATGAGAGGCTCAAGTGGTCGACGGAGTCGTCCCATGAAGAAGCCGGCGTGGCCTCCAGAGAGAAGGTTTTCGAGTCGAAAAGAATGCCGAGAGCTTGGATCCAGGTGTAGTCGCGGGATCTTCCTTGCGGCCGGAGACCGATGAAGCGGGCATTGATTTGAAGATTGCGATCGGAAACTAAGCTGAAATGCTCGTTTTTCCGGCCGTGGAAGTAGAAAACGATGCCATCGCCGCCGATGAAGCGCGGGTCCAGGCACGCTGAACCGGGGCTGTTGCAGTTTGGCTTTCGGTCTGCAATGTTAGCGAGAAATTAAAAAAAAAAAAAAAGCAACAAAAACAAAAAAAGCAAAGCATGTAATTATCAATTCGTTACATATATATGTTGGGCGTCTATGGGGGAAAGATGATTTTAAAACTAACTAAACAAATACAGTAAAAACTATATAATTAACATGTAGAAATTAGAAGAGTTAACATGATATTTGAAAAAAAAAGTGTAACATATGATATTTTTTTTTCTATATAATATTAATGAAGTTGAGAAAATGTAATAAAAAATTTATTTATTTTTGACAAGTGCTACAATTTCCTTCAAAGAAAATTACTTAATAGAATAAAATATTCATGTTACTGTTCAGTACCCTTACATAAAATATATGTAAAACCTCTAATGAAAATTGCTGTATACTTAAACCCATTTACTGTCTTTGTTTCTTTTTCCCCTCATCTTACGAAGTAGTTTCTATATTGCTGGAATTGCCACTCGTTGTGAGCATTTTAGAACATCATATCGCCAAAAAGATGACAACAGAACCAACAAATATCTAAATTTTGATCAAATCATTTTCTAAAAAATCTATGTATGATGAAATATGATAAAAGAACAATCTTATATATTGTAGAAGAACACATTATATTTATATTTTATGCTATCTTTCTGAGAAGAAGATGATATATATATATATACATATATATATGGATGTTAGGCTTACTTTTGCATTCGGCTTGGCATAAGGGTGAGTTGCAGTTGACATAGCAGACTTTAGCTTTTGGGTCTTTGGGATATCTTGATGGGCATTCACTGGGGCAAATAATCTTCTTCTTAGAGCATTTGCTGTTTTTGCCGTAGCAGGCTATGGTGTCCGAAGCTCGGATTTGTGTCAAACCTGACAGAAGGAGACGTTTTTGTTGGTTCTGTTGTCATCTTTTTGGCGATATGATGTTCTAAAATGCTCACCACGAGTGGCAATTCCAGCAATATAGAAACTATTTCGTAAGATGAGGGAAAG